TATGAAGCCTGTAATATTCTACTTTTAGAGTGTTTATAAGCTAGATAATTTAACAGTAGTTGTAATTTTTCCCAATATTTCAGAATCTTCACCATAGAATCCATCTAGTTATGTTCCTGAATCTTCTCTCTTAATGTGTTTAGTTGTTTTTTTTTTTAATTCCAAGCACTATTTTTTTTTTTTTTTTTGGTTTTTTTGAGACAGGGTCTCCTTGTAGCCCCAGCTGTCCTGGAACTCACTATGTAGACCAGGCTGGCCTCGAACTCACAGAGATCCACCTGCCTCTGCCTCCGAGTGCTGGAATTAAATGTGTGCACCACCATACCTGGCCCAAGCACTATTTTTACCTGTTGTTATGATTCACTCAAGATTTCTATCTGTCTTCACTCATGCATGACTGTTTTTGATCCTTCTTTTAATAGGTAATGTGGAACACAGCTGTCCACTCTGAATTCATGCATGATCATGTTGATTATGGCTTTCAGAGTTGTGAGAGTAAATTCAATTGGCGGTAAGTATTAGTGCATAAAGGGTTAATTTTGCAAGTCATAAACTTTGGTGAGGATTACTGTGCCAAAATGTATACCAGGGCTGGGGATGTAGCTTGATGGTACAGTTCTTGCCTAGCTTGTTTAAGGTATTAGGTTCAATCCCCAGTACCATATGTGTGTGTGTGTGTGTGTGTGTGTGTGTGTGTGTGTGTATGTGTGTGACTATGTACAACATGAAATTTACCATTTTAAATATACAGTTCAGTGGCTTTACCATATACATTGTTGTGTAGCCATTACCATTATCCTTTTCCAGAGTTTTCCCACAACCCTGAATAGAACCTCTGCCCATTAAATAACTTTTCATTCTCTACTCCTCCCCCAGCCCATGAAACCTCTGATCTACTTTTTGTCCTTAAAACTTAACTTGTGTTAGATATTTAATGGAATCACACACTTCCTTTTTTAAAAACATACATTATTATTTTTTTAAATTAATTATTTTGCCAGGCATGGTGGCACATGCCTTTAATGCCAGCACTTGGGAACCAGAGGTAGGCGGATCTCTGTGAATTCAAGGCCAGCCTGGTCTACACAGCAAGTTCCAGGCCAGCTGAGGCTACAGGGAGACCCTGTCCCAAAAAGACCAAAAAAAAGTTTATTATTTTATGTGTGTGAGTGTATTGCTTGCATGTGTGTAAGTGCACCCATGTCGTGCAGTGCCCTTGAGGATGATTGTTAGCCACCATGGTGTTCTGGGAATTGAACCTGGGTCCTTTGCAAGAGCAGCCAGTGAGTACTCTTTAACCTCTAAGCCATTTATCCAGACCCACACTTTTCCTTTTGTGCTTGGTTTGTGTCATTTAATATAACATTTTCGAGGTTTGTCATACTACAGCTGGTGTCCGTCGTTCATGCTCTTCGCTTCTGAATAGTATTCCTTGTACAGTGTGCCTGTTTGTACATCCAGTCAGTCAACTGTGCAACGACCTTTGGGTTGTTTCTACTTTGTGGTTCCTATGAACAATGCTGCCTTAAACACAATGTTGGAGACCCTGTTTTCAGTTCTTCCAAATCTATAGCTGGAAATGGACATGCTGGGTAATATATAACTTTTTATGATACTGTTATCAACTTTTTCTTTCTTTTTTTTTTTTTGGTCTTTTTGAGACAGGGTCTCCCTGTAGCCCCAGCTGTCCTGGAACTCACCATGTAGACCAGGCTGGCCTTGAACTCACAGACATCCCCCTGCCTCTGCTCCGAGTGCTGGGATTAAAGGCGTGCGCCACCACGCCCAGCCTGCCATCAACTTTTGAAGCGATCAAATACTCAAGGAATTTTAACAAATCTATTTGTTTTTTTCAACAGATATCTTAGAGTCCACCATGACTAGATACTATGCCAGAGCAGCTTTCCTGGTTTTCTTTCTTTTTTTAATGTACAACTTCAATTGATTCTTATATTTTATTTTATTTTATAAATTTTTATTGAATTTTTGTGTATTTCATACAGAAAAATCATCTTTATACCCTTTCCCCTTTGGCACCTCCCATAGTGTCCCCCCCCATCATTTATGTTAAGGCCTAACATGTAAAGTTAAGTGTCCCTAGATGTCCCTTAGTGCAAGTTCATCCACTGTGATCTAGTCTAGTCAACCTTGGGGTTTTTTTTGGTCTGTTTGAGACAGGGTCTCCCTGTAGCCCTAACTGGCCTGGATTCGCTGTGGAGACCAGGCTGGCCTCGAACTCACAGAGATCTACCTGCCTCTGCCTCCCGAGTGCTGGGATTAAAGGCATGTGCCACCACGCCCGGCCTTAATTTTTATTTGTGTTACATTAATTTATTTATTGTGTGTGTACATGTGTGGTCATATATGTGGTGGAACACAGAAGATAGAGGACAACTTGCAAGAGTCGGTTCTGTCCTTCTGCTGTGTGCATCCTGTGGATTGAACTCAGGTCATTGGGCTTAGCAGCAAGTGCCTTACGCTATTTTCTTGGACTGTCTCCCGGTTTCCTATGCAGAAACAGGCTTATGTTCTGTGAATGCCAACTGAGCGTTCTCCAGAGTGGAATAGGAGCTCAACACCCAGGAAGCAGATGGGCACCTATTGTTAGAGAAAGTTGCTTACTTCATTCAGGAGGGCTGGAAACAGGAGCCCTGGTTACTAGGTGAAAACCAATTATTGTTTCCAAGTACTGACTCAGGTTTCATTACAGTGTTATAAAAGAGAAGCGAGATGCCTATGTGAGCCGCCTGAACACCATCTACCAAAATAATCTAACCAAGGTGTGTATGCTGGGCTTTGAACTTTGTGAAGGAGCTGGTTGATGCTGGAGGAGGCATCTCGTCTGACCAGATGAAGATGTAACCTTTGCATATATATCTTATTAATTCTATACTTTTTTAAGATTCATATTTTTTAATTTAATTTATTATTTTTATTCATTTTACATGTATGTGTATTGCCTGCATGTAAGTGCACCTGTGTCATGTAATGCCTGCAGTGGTTAGAAGAGAGCTTTGGATCCCCAGGAACTGGAGTTAAAGCTGACCTTACTGCTCAGAGGCCTCTGTCTCTAGTAGGCCATTCTGTCTTCTGCAAAGAATGGACAATGTATGCCAAGTCCATAGACCAAGTCTTACTTCATAGTTGCATCTTGAATAGGTCTGTCCAGTTAAATCAGAAACCAAAATCATGAGAAACTGACTTAGAGACCTGGTTCCCAATGTGGTAATCAAAGCCAGGATTACTGACAGAGCATAGGCCAACAGCCCACTGGTGTTCATTTGCTCAGAACAGCTTCTTGGAGACTAAATTATGATTCACAAGTGTATTTTTATAAGTGAAGTCTCATCAGGAATATCAGGCAAATATGTACTTGTCTCCAGCAAACATTTGTTGTCCTTCACTCTCCCAGTGCCTTTTAAGGGCCTGATTCCATACCACTTTCATCCAGCGCCATGCTGGTAACATTGGTAATTATGCACTATCTGGTCTTCCCTCCCCTCCCCTTCTTTCTTTTTCTCTCTTTCATCTTTCTTTCTTCCTTCCTTCCTCCTTCCTTCCTTCCTTCCTTCCTTCCTTCCTTCCTTCCTTCCTTCCTATTTGACAGGGTCTTACTATGTACACTGACTGGCCTGGAACTTGCTATGTAGACCAAGCTAGTCTCAAACTCAAAGAGATCTGTCTGCCTCTTGAGGATGAAACGTGTGCGTTACCATGCTTGGTGTGATTTTTTTTTTAATTCTCGAGGTAGGGCTCTATGGCTGGCCTTGAATGCCCAGTGTAGCTCAAGGATGACCTTCAACTGCTGCCTTCTGCTTCCACCTCTTGAGTGCTCTGATTACAGGCATGTAGCAGCACACATAGTTTATGCAGTGCTGGGGACAGAACCCAGGGCTTCTAGCCTGATAGGCAGGTGCTCTGCCAACTGAATTACATCCCTTCCTTCCTTCTCTTCATTTTCTTTTTTGACAGTTCCACTGTGTAGGTCAGGCTGATCTCGAGCTCTCTATGTTGTCCAAGGTTGACCTTGAACTCAAGGGTGATTCCCATTCTCTGGCTTCCAGATGTTCAGATACAGGCAGGTGCCACAGTACCTCAAAAGCTGTCCCTTTTTTTGATAGCATGTCCCACCACTCTTCGTCTTTGCCGTCTCACTTTGCATCTCTAAGATGTCTACGTAACTTGGATTATATTTAGATGTCAGCAGACTATATTTGGACTACCCTTATTAGCAGTGTGTTTATAAACCAGTTTTGGAAATGAATTACTTTACAGATGATGAATTTTATATAGTTTTATAAATTCTTAACATTTATCAATTAATTTTTGGAGGCTATCTTAGGAACTTTAACTCCAAGCAACCATATAAAAAGTTTTAAGTTCTTTTTTGATTTATTTATTTTTATATTTATAGGAGTGCTCACCTATATATATGCACTGTGGGCAGAAGAGGGCGTCAGATCCCCTGGAATGGAGTTAGGGACAGTTAGTAGCCCCTGTGTGGGTACTGGGACCTAATCCGGGTCCTCTGGAAGAGCTGCCAGTTCTCTTAACTGCTGAGCCATCTTCCTAGCACTTACACTGAACATTTTTAATGGGGCTAAATTTTCTTTTGCCAAAAAGATAGGAAAATTACTGAGAAATCAGTATCTTTTAAATAATTAGCAGACTTGGTGCTTGGTAGAACTTACCATGGCCTTGTGGTGAAAGAATTACAGCTAGTAGAAGTTTTGCATAGCAAAGGAAGCTTGGATGCCCTGTTCTGGGCACTGAAAATCTTCCCCCATCTGTTACCTGTGCTATAACAGATTCAGCCCACACTCCTTTTTCTCTAGTACCTCATGGGAACTCACTGCCCCCAAGAAGGTAGTTCTGACTGCCTGTGGGTTTGGTGTTGATCTAGGTGCAGTTAATTAAGCCAGGCACCTGCAGGAACAGGCCTGGAGGGGGGATTGGGAAGGAGGAAATAATTCAGAACCAGACATGTTCCAAAATGTTGAGCCATTCCCTTGTGTGAACATATACGTGGTTCCATTATCATTTAATTCACTTATGTCTGTGTGCCAGGACATGGATCATAGCTGACAGGAATCACTGGCTCTTGTACAGGATTCCAGTGAGAGCAGCTCAGCACTCAGCATCACGGTTCTCGGTATTCCACAACAGAACTTCTCTGTCCTGCAGTTTTGTGGTGTTCTTCCCGTCTGTTTAAGAGAACAGAGCATTGCGTCTTCTCTCCAGGCCAGGGCACTTCTCTCCTGTCTGTTCCCTCCACCTTATTTCTCTTATCTGTCTTCTTCTCTTATCTGTCCTCTCTAGCATGTTATTTTTCAGTGCCTTTTCACTATAAGGAAGACTTTAACCCTCAACTCAGGGTCAAAGGCCTCATCTTTTGCCATATGGGAGTGACTTGCCTGGGTTTTGCTCTCTTGGTTTTGGTCCAAGATAGCACATTATTTCTCCTTAATATAGGCATGTGGCATCTAATGGTGTCTAAGGAATTTGAGCAACAGAATTGTCTTATTAGTTGCAAACCCAAATCAGAATTCTTAGTGGAGCAGGGTGCAGTGGCACACACCTGTAATCCCAGCATTTGAAAGACTGAGGCAAGAAGATTCCAGCTTCAAGGAAAACCTGGACCACAAGAACCAGGTGTAGTGCTCAGCATTTATAAACCTATAATCCCAACACTTAGCAAATAGAGGCAGGAGGATCAAGATTTCATGGTCATTCTCAACTATGTCATTGAGTTGGAGACAAGCTTGGGCTTTTTCAAGTTGGCCTTGAACGCACCATATAACCAAAAATGACTTTGAATTCCTGATCTTCTTGCCTGCATCTCCCAAAGTGCTGGGGTTACAGGAGAGCACCATGACTCCCAGCTAGGTAGGTTTTTTTTTTTTCTTTTTTTTAATCTTAAGAATATGCTAATGTCAAGGTTCCTCCTCCAGTCCCACATAGAAATCATCCATGGCTATGCAGCATTTGCAGACGGTCCACAGCCCACTATTGAAGTCAATGGGAAAAGATACACTGCTCCTCACATCCTGATTGCCACAGGTGGTGTGCCCTCAATTCCTCAGGAGAGCCAGATTCCTGGTGAGTCTTCCAAAGGCCAGTATTGTCAGGGGGATTTACAAGCCACATAACAGGATCTGCCTACACTAGTTTTCTCTTGGGAAAAGCCAGGAGAGGTCTCTGAAACCTAAAGTTAACTAAGTAGTAGTTAATAATGAGCCAATCAAAGCTATTTTATCTAACTCAGAGCTCAGATATTTTGACAGAAACAGCAAGAAAAATCAGTGAGAGCTTCACCTTTTCCTTCTCAACATGGCACATATTGCTGCCAGCCTCAATTTGTCAGATGCATTGTTATTTATAAGACTCAGGATACAGAGACTGGCCTCGTGGCACACGCATCCCAGCACTTGGGAGGCGGAGGCAGAGGCAGGCAGATCTCTGAGTTTGAGGTCAGCCTGGTCTACATAGTGAGTTCCAGGCCAGATGGGGCTACAGAGAGACTCTTGTCTCAAAAAAAAGACAAATAAATAAATAAATAAATAAATAAACAAACAAACAAACAAAAGACTCAGGATACAGTAACTTTTCAAGAGAGAAAAATCTTGGGAGGATATTGCTCTCCCCAGCCCCATGTTTTTGTTTCTTATATAGCAACTTCTAAATGATTTAAGTGAGGAAGGAATCTTAGAAATGGTCATGTCTGCCTTTGCATTTTCTGTACATTGGTGTTAAGAGCTAGGATTGAATCATGAACATACTGCTGAATTCCCTATAAGAAACATGGGTCAGAGCCAGGCATGGTGGTGCACATCTGTAGTCCCAGCACTTGGGAGGCAGAGGCAGGTGGATCTCTGAGTTCAAGGCTAGCCTGGTCTACATAGTGAGTTCCAGGCCACCAGCTGGGGCTACAGGGAGACCCTGTCTCAAAAACAAAAAACAAAAACAACAACAAAAAAAAACAGGGTCTCCAAAGTGAGATTATTAGTCTTGGAGGATGGTGAGTGTCTTAATTTCTTTTCCTGTTGCTGTAATAAAATGTTCTGACAAAAACAACCTAAGAGAGAAAGGCTCAAAGTTGAGGTTGAGATCCATCATAGTGGGGAAGTCAGGGCAGGAGGAACCTGAGGCACCTGATCACATCACAGAGCAGTGAGTGCGAGCAGTGAATGCATGCATGATACTGCTCAGTTCCCTTCCCCCACAGGTGAGGTCCAGGATCCTAGACAGAAAATGGCAGCACCCACAGTGGGTGGGTCTTACCATGTCAATCCAATCAAGCTCTTACCCCCACAGGAATACCCAGAGGCCCCTGTCCAGGTGATTTTAGATTCTGCCAAGTTGACAACACTAGCCCCACTGTAAAAGACACAAATATACCATTCTCAAGTCACTTAAAATTTACTTGGGAATGTTGGGTATAATTCTTGGTAGAACCAGGCTCCAAAATGTATTGTTATGTGGAAAAAAGAAAAAGGTAGAATGGTGTGTCTAGTGTGCCAGTTTTTCACCAAGGCAGGGAGCAAGCTGGGTGTGGTGGCTCACTCCAGAATCTCAGCATTCAGGGTATATTAGTCAGTGTTCTCTGAAGGAATAGGATCAATAAGATGAATGTGTATCACAAAGAAAATGTATTAGATTGGCTAACACAGTATGGGCTGGGTAGTCTAACAGTGGCTGCCTGCGGGCTGGAGAGGCTGAGAACCCAGAAGCTGCTGTCCGTGAGGCTGGATTCCTTAGTAGTCCCAATCTGGTGCTAAAGGCCTGGAAGATTTCTAGAAAGCCCATATTGGAAAGCCAGAGAAGCTTGTTTTCATGTCAGGAAAAGGTGGTGGTGGTGGTGGTGGTGGTGGTAGGGTGGCAGCAGCATAGGTGCCTCAGTAGCAGAGGGTGAAGACTGGGGCAAAGCAGCACTGCCCAACCACCCTCCTTATCTGGGCCACCACCATCAGAAGGTGCTGCCTACTCTGGAGAGGGTGTTGTGTCCGGTGTCCATCCCTGCCCCATCCTCTAAGGAGGAGGATCTGTGCTTGTCGGTAGGTATCCTTTCAGTTTTGAATGAGTGAGCTTATTAAGTCTGCAGCAGGCAAAAGTAAAAGAACCAGTAACAAGGAGCATTCAGCAGAACATCAAATTGGGTGCTACAACACTTGGCAGAAACGATTGGAGTAGGCTGCTTGGGAGAGCATGCAAAAGTATCTTCATCAAGTCAGGTTCTCCTAAGCAGAAATGGCTGGGGAAGCCTTGCTGAAACAGCCCTGCTGGAGCTCCTGAAAGAGGCCCAGGCAGAGCCGAGTGCATTCTTCCAGAATAAGCTTCTGCCTTCTTCCCACTGCAGGCTTTTTTTTTTTTTTTTTTTAATGTGTATGTGTGACAACGTCTCCCTGTAGCCCCAGCTGTCCTGGAACTCACTATGTAGAGCAGGCTGGCAAACCAGAAGAGGGTGTCAGATCTCCTGAATCTGGAGGGACAGTAAGTACTGAGCTGCCATGTAGGTGCTGGGAATCAAACCTGTGTCTTCTGCAAGAGCAGTCAGTGCTCTTAACCACTCAGCCATCTCTCCAGCCCCCACTGTGGGCATTTTTATACCATGGCATAGACAGTAGTAACCTCCATTGGGAAGGGTTTACCTTCTAGCTGTTCTGAAGGGCACAGTGGGGTTTTTTTTGTTTATTTTATGTGTATGAGAGTATTACCTGCGTGTGTGTGAGTGCACCCATGTCACGCAATGCCCTAGGAGGTCAGAAGAGGGCCTCAGATCCCCTGCAGCTGGAAATTGAAGCCGGGTCCTCTGCAACAGGACCGCTGAGCCATCCCTCCAGCCCCAGGAGCACAGTACCCTGAGCTGCGTGCTGTTTTCCTTTCTCCTTGTAACAGAGGCAGGGGTTCAGCCTGACTGAGGACACTTGAAATACACATGCTCAAGTCTGGGACAAGAGATCCCTTCTTGCTCCCAGAGTCCCCTTTCTGCAAGCTCAACACAGTACTATTTACCAATAGAATTTACATCACACTCCTCAGTTAATCCTTCCTGGAAACACCCTCAGACCTGCCCAGGGGTGTGACTTCGGTGATCCCAGATCCAGTCAATTTAACAATGAAGATTGACTGTTACAGAAGGCTAAGACAGGGGTGTGGCTTCAAGTTCGAGGCCAGCCTGGACTATGAGTGAGATCCCATCCTAAAGAAAATAAAACAAACATCAGAAGAAAACAGGCAGGTCTTGTGCTATTCCCATGCCGATGCCCTCTGCAGTGCTCTAAGTAAATATTCTTTCTAAAATAAAGACATAAATAAATAAAATGGAAAGACAGGAAACCATGCATATGCAGTAGAATTTCACTAAAAGGATAATAACCCTGTGGTGGGCTGGGTGGTAGTTCAGTGTTGGAGTTCAAACAAAACATTGAAAATCTTCTAATGGCGATTCCCTCCAGGGAGCAAACTAGAGGGCAGAATGAACCTCATTTCACTACGCCCTCGGCTGTATCTTCTCATGCTCACTACGCCCTCTGCTGTACCTTCTGATGTTCATTTCTAGTTTTTGGTGTTGGAGCTCGAATTCAGAGCCTCACACATGCCAGTGACATACTCTATCAACCACTGAGTTTACATACCGAATCTCACCCTTAAAAAATTTTATCACATACTTTTCATTACTTAAAAAAATTTTTTAAAGGGGCTGGAGAGTTGACCCTGGTTAAGAGCACTAACTGCTCTTCCAGAGGACCCAGGTTCGATTCCCAGCACCTCCATGGTGGCTAACAACTGTCTGTAACTCCAGTTCCAAGGGATCCAATGCCTTCTGGCCTTGGTGGGGATTGTACAACATGGGTGCACTTACATACATGTAGGCAATACACTAATACACATAAAATATAAATCAAAAAAAATTTTAATAAGGTAAAATGTTGACTTGGGGCTAGAGAGATGACTCAGCATTTAAGAGCCCTAGCTGCTTTTACAGAGAACCAGGGTTCCATTCCACACAGCAGCTAACAATCATCTGTAAATTCAGATCAGTATATCTGACACCCTCTCTGGTTTTCATGAGCATTGTAAAACACTCATATGCATAAAATAACCAATTTTTGTTACAAATTTAAAATACCAACTTAGGGAAGACTTGATTACCAAATTCTCCAGGGGCTAGCAAAACTGTCCAGAGAGTATTGGCAGAGAGAGGGTTTGGTTCTTGAATAAATTGTGTTCAGGCCAGGTATGGTGACTTATGCATATAATTCCCACTGCTTAGGAAGCTGAGGCAAGAGGATTGCCATGAGTTCAAAGCCAGTCTGGCCTACATAGTGAGTGCCAAGCACTGGAACTGCAGTGTGAAACCCCTTTTTACCCCTTGCCAAGAAAAATACTGTATTCATTGAGAAAACACAGCTTGTGTGATCTATGCTGTATTTTTCTAAATAGGTGCGAGCCTGGGAATAACCAGTGATGGGTTTTTTCAGCTGGAAGACCTGCCTAGGTAAGCAGACTTGATGTCATAGATTCATTTTTTTCTCTCTGCTGGGAACCAGTGTTCCTTCTATCTGCCATCTCTTCCTCCTGCCTCTCCGTCTTTCCTTCTTTCCCTCTTTTCCTCCCATGTCTTGCTATGTTGCCTCTGTTCATCTTGAGCTCTTAGGCTCAAGTGATCCACCTGCCTCAGCACGAGCCACCCTGTAGTGTTTGGTTTTAGGATTCACAGATACAATGTGAGTGAGCATGCATCCAGAAGCACACTGACTCACTATGTTTGGATGACGTAAGTCAGTGTAGACTTACCTTCAAGCAAGTTTTATTGTAGATATTTGCCCATTAAATATTTTTAAACTATTTAAGAAACTTTTATTGACATGAATACAGTTTTAATGAATGAATTTATTCATGCCATAAACCAAAGGCTCTAGGAACAAAAGGAAGTGAATTAACAATTAGGTGTGGTGCTCTTGCCTGTATTCCCAGTTGCCGGGAGGCTAAGGTGGAAAATGATTTGAGGCTAGGTTAGACAACCTGGAGTGACCCTTGTCTCAAAAAAAATAAATAAATAATAGGGTTAGAGAGATGACTCAGCAGTTAAGAACACTGGCTCTTCTCGCAGAAGACCCGCGTTCAAATCCTAGCACCCACATGGGGGTTAACAACCTTCTGTAACTCCACTTTCAGGGGATCCACTGCCCTCTTCTGTCTTATGCAGGCATTTCATGACAGGGATTGCATTTAGGGACATGTAGGCATAACACTCATATGCATAAAATAAAAATAAATTTCAAAAAATTCAAAAAAAAAATAGCCAGGTGAGGTATGAGGTAGTGCACTCGTGTCACTCAGGAGGCTGAGGCAGGAGGATTGCCAAGTGTGAGGATAGCATTTTATTAGGTTTTTCTCTTTCCTTGTTCTTTTGTAAGAATTTATTGTAAAATTATTTTATTATTTTTATTTTATGTTTGTGAGTATATTGCCTGCATGTACACCAGTGTTGTGCAATGCCCACAGAGGTCAGAAGAGAGTGTCAGAGCCACTGGAACTGGATATACAGATGGTTGCTTGCTGCCATGTGGGTGCTGGGAATTGAACCCAGGTCCTCTGCAAGAGCAGCCAGTGCTCTTAACTGCTGAGCCATCTCTCCACCTCCCTCCTATAAGACATTTTTCATCATTGTTATAATCTTGGTGAGCAAATTCTGTAGGCAAAGTACCAATGCTGTGGTCTGTGTGATTCAATTTTTACCCTTGGGACCCATGGCAGGGTGGGGTAGGCAATTTGAACCCTTTGGAAAGCTGTGGTAGTGGTTGTGAGGGCCAGAATGAGGTAAAGAGGGGTTGCTCTGGGGATGTGGCAGCACAAGGTCTTTTTTAGTGGCTACCACAGTAACAGAAAGTAGGATGAAGGTGCTGCTGGAAGCTGAGGGGAATCACTGGGCTCCTTACAGCTCTCTGATCAGCCCTGTGATCGCATGTCTATTGCTCATATGTCCCCTTCATGAGGATTTCACTCCTGTAAAATATACCCAGCTTTCAGGAATCTGGTGCCTTTTTCTAAGCTATCTGCCCTTCAGGAACTGCCTGTGGGGGCTAGATGGCTCAGCAGTTAGCACTGGTTGCTCTTGAAAGGACCTGGGTTTGATTCCCAGCACCCACATGGTGGCTAATAACCATCCAAAATTCCAATTCCAGGGGAATCCAACACCCTCTTCTGATCTCCTAGGGCACTGCACAGCATGGGTACACTTACATACATGCAGGCAATACACTTATTCATATAAAATTAAAATAAACATGTTTTATATTTTTTTTGTCTTTTTGATCCAGGGTCTCTCTGTAGCCCCAGCTGACCTGGAACTCTCTATGTAGACCAGGCTGGTCTTGAACTACAGAGATCCACCTGCCTCTGCCTCCCAAGTGCTGGGATTAAAAGCATGTGCTACCACACTGGACATAAAATATTTTTTTAATAAAACCATCTATGGTGGCTCATGCCTTTAATCCCAGCAGTTGGGAGGCAGAGGCAGGTGGATCTCTGTGAGTTCAATTCCAGCCTAGTCTACATAGTTCTAGTCCAGCTGGGGCTACGGAAGACAGGATTTGAACTGTTTCAAAAAAGGCCAAAAACAAAACAAAATAAAATAAATCCATTTGTGGACCCCCTCCTTGACCAACTACAGGGCATGTTTCTCTCTTCAGAAATTCTTCCTGGGCTAGGCCTTGAGTTACAGATCTATAATTCCAGCTATTCAGAACCTAAGACATGAGGGTTGTAAATTGAAGGACAGTCTGGACTGCAGGGCATATTCAAGCCAGCCTACGCAACTGCGAGACTGTCAAAAAAAAAAATGTTTTTAAGGGCTTGGAATGTAGCTCAGTGGTAGAGACTTGTCTAGTATGTAAAAAGTTCTGGGTTTGTGCCCTAGCACCACCAACAAAAATATCATTGAGGGCAGAAGCCATTTCCCACACTGTCTAGGGCAATGCCTGTTGCAGTACAGAACTTAAACATCCAGAAAAGAAAGAGAAGGTGCAGAAAGGAACAGAGAAAACCAAGAGGGAGAGAGGACCTATGGAGAGGAAGAGGCCGGCATGTAGGAATGAGGGAGGTGGAGATGGAAGGGAGCTATTTCAGAGGACTTGAGGAGTATAGAAGTTTGTATTCATGCTCAGGATTGTGGTGAGGGTCATCATCAAGTCGCTTGTAGCCATTGAGTTCTTACTTTGTCCTCCACCCAGACCATGAGGCCTTTGTAGACAGGTGTTTCCATGGACAGTATTGGAAGAAGGTTTCATCTGCTCTTACCCAAGTATTTCTTACTCATGCATTGAAACATTGGGAAGCAGTGTGTTTGATGCTTTGGGGATCTCTGAGCAGGGTACTACTGCTGAGGGCCAGTGTTCTCTAGGGCTGGAAGTAAGCCCCAAGCTACAGGCAGTGTCAGATTTCTTCAGTGATCCCAAAGGTCATTCAAGCATTTAACTAGGGCTTAAGATCTTTTTGTTAAGCCAAATTATACTCAGGAAATTGAGTTCAACTTGTGTCACAGCCTCCCAGATACTGGGTTTATAGGCAGGAGTCACCATGCCTGGTTTAAGATGGCTGTCTGCAGTTGACCTTTGATCATACTATAAGGATTACTAGAACTGAATAATAATCAAGGAGCAATACCCAGCACAGGAGAATAATGGTGCTGATGTTAGTTTTAGATTTAGAAATTTTTGTGTAAGTGCTGAACACGATGATACTGGACCTGTAACCCTGGCACTGGGGAGGCATTGGATCAGGAGTTCAGTGCCAGTCTCATCTACATATGGAGTTGGAGCCCAACCTGGGCTACATGAGACCCTGCCTCAAAAAAAGAAGAAGATGAGGCTGGAGAGATGGTTCAGCTGTTAAGAATACTGGCTGTTCTTGCAGAAAACCTGGGTTCGAATCCCAGCACCCACATGGCAGCTAATAACTGTCTGTAACTCCAGTTCCAGGGGATCCGACAGCCTCTTCTGTCCTCCGCGGGCATTGCATGACACAGGTGCACTTACCTACATGCAGACAATACACGCGTACACTTAAAAATAGTAATAATCATAATAATAAATAAAATATTTAAAAAAGGAGAAAGAAGGGTAAAATAAAATGTCTTTTTCCTCTTTCACAAAGGAATATTTTCTACTTAAAATTTCAGTGTGACATCTGAAACAGAAAAGAGCTTGTTGGAAAAGCTGATGAAATCTGAAATCTAGGGTTTAGTTAATAATAATTACCAGATTTTTAGTTTTGACAAATGTGAAAGGGTTGTATAAATTTTGTTTTGTTCTGTTTGAGACAGGGACTTGCTGTGTAGCTCTGGCTGTCCTGGAACTCATACCAGGCTGACCTCAGATTCTCCACAATCCTCCTGCTTCTGCCTCCTGAATGCTGGGATCACAGGTGATTGCCACCATGCTCTGCATAAAACGTTAACTGTAGGAAGAATGGAGTGGAGAACACAAAGGAAATTTCATACCGTATTTGCAGCTTGCCTGTAAATCTACAGTTATTGGAGGTCAGTTATCTAGAGCTGTTCACCCTTTGCTTTCTTTCATCTTAGCCGCAGCGTCATCGTGGGTGCAGGCTACATTGCTGTGGAGATAGCTGGGATCCTGTCTGCACTGGGCTCCAGGACATCACTTATGATAAGGCATGATAAGGTAAGTCCTGTCTTCTCTTCCCATTCTTTGATTATGTTTTTTTTTTTTTAACTAGAGACTTTTTTTCCTTTTCTTTTTTAAAAAAAGCAGCTATTTTAATTTGGTGGGGGGGGGGTCTTTTTTAATTTTTATTTATTTATTTTTTGAAACAGGGTCTCCCTATAGCCCCAGCTGGCCTGGAACTCACTATGTAGACCAGGCTGGCCTTGAACTCACAGAGACCCGCCTGCCTCTGCCTCCCAGAGTGCTGGGATTAAAGGTGTGCGCCACCATGCCCGGCAAAATTTTAGTTTTTTAATATTTACAAAACAAAAAAATTAGAGCATGCAGAAATAGTTTTTAAATGGCCACCAGGCATGGTGGTGCACTCAGGAGGCAGAGGCAGAGGCAGGCGGATCTCTGTGAGACCTAGGTCAGCCTGCTATGTACATAGTGAGAGCCAAGCTAGCTGGGGCAATAGGGAAACAGACCCTGACTCAAAATTTTTTTTTAGATTTCCCTGTTAGCTAACAGTCTTTTGTGGAATATGTGGACACTACCCATATAATAACTTACTTTGCATTAAAAATGTGTTATAGAGCTGGGTATGGTGGTGCACACCTTTAATTCCAGCATTCAGGAGGGAGAAGCAGGCGAATCTCCATTATTTCAAGGCCAACTGGTCTATGTAGTGAGTTCCAGGCCAACCAGGGCTACATAATGAGACCCTGTCTCAATAAACAATTTTAAAAAATGTTATATCTTAGCCGGGCGTGGTGGGGCACGCCTGTAGTCCCAGCACTCAGGAGGCAGAGGCAGGTGGATCTCTGTGAGTTCAAGGCCAGCCTGATCTACATAGTGAGTTCCAGGACATCTGGGGCTAAAGGGGGACCCTGCTTAAAAAAAAAAAAAAAAAAAAAAAAAAAAAGTTATATCTTACATGAGATAGGATTGAAACAAATTACTCTTTAGTATGCCTTTAACAAAATGTGCAGAATTGAAGAGATGGCTCAGTGGTTATGAATACTCACTGGCTGCATTTACACAGGACCTGAGTTCGGTTCCCAGCACCCACATGACAGCTAACAACCATCTCTAACTCCACTTCCAGGAGCTCTGGCTCCCTCTTCTGGTTTCTGTGGGCACCACACAACACAGGAGCACTTACATACACACAGGTAACACTCATATACATAAAAATAATTACCCTTTCTCAGGGCTGGAGAGATGGCTCAGTGGTTAAGTGCACTGACTGCTCTTGCAAAAGACCCAGGTTCAATTCCCAGCACCCACATGGTGGCTGTGAACTGTCCTTAACTCAGTTCCAAGGGAATTTGAAGCCCTCTTCTGACCTCCGTGGTATTGCACAACACGGGTGCACTCACATACATGGAGGCT